AGAAACCCAAGCTTGAGTACTCAACAAGCAGTGGCTAGTTGTTCTGGCAACACTCAGAGTGGTGGTTCAGGTGAGAATAGTACCAGACCCAAAGTGTTCCTGGTTGCTCCAGCCCCATTCATGGCGGATCTCAGACATGACCCAAAGGGGGAGGCCGGTGGGAGGAGCTGGGACACTGGGAAGGCGGCTGGGACACAGGCCACAGACCTGCCCTCTGGCAAAGAAAGAGAACAGGATCTTCAGGAAAAAATTCACAGATGATCTCAGGGACAGCAGGAATGCACATCTCAGCACTTCTTGGGGAACTGAGAAGCCCCTGTAAAACATGGGGGCTGGGGGTAGGCGGCTTCATTGCTCCTTTTCAACAGTACTCTCAAAAGTGAAGATCGAAAGAATGGGCTTTGAAAGACTTGGTTTTGAGTTCCAGCTGGATGGCCCTGGAAAAGTCACTGTATCTCTCTGATAAAATGGGGAGAACGTCACCTGTATTACTGCTGGGACGAATCAGTGATGTGCAGCAGAGCGTACCTAGCACAGTGCTTGGCATATAATAAGCACTTGATAACTAATAGTCTTAGGTATTATTATTGAGTTGGTAACCCCAGCAGCTGCTGCCAACACCCTTCTCCTTTGCCACTTCGTTGGGCCCAGTGTAGATGGACTGCTCGGGATCAGCACTGACCAGCGGAAATATCATGTGAGCCACATCTTTAAATTAAACCTCTCTAGCAATCACATTAAAAAAGGTAAAAACAAACAAACAAAAACAACCAGGAGAAATTAATTTTGATAGTATATTCTATTTAACCTAACAAATCAAAAATAATTATCATTTCAACCTGTAATCAATAGAAAATGTTTGAGATATTTTATATTCTTTTTTTATACTGTCTTTGAAATCAGTGTGTATACAAAAACAACCAGGAGAAATTAATTTTGATAGTATATTCTATTTAACCTAACAAATCAAAATAATTATCATTTCAACTTGTAATCAATAGAAAATGTTTGAGATATTTTATATTCTTTTTTTATACTGTCTTTGAAATCAGTGTGTACGTGTTCTTATAGCACATCTTAATCTGACCCAACTATCTTGCAATGCCCAACAGTCGCTGTGGGAACCACACTGGGCAGTGCAGGTCTACAGGGGGCCGGGGCTCTCCTCTACTTAGAGCTAAGTGGCCTGGATGTGAGTAGAAGAAGGAGTCTGGGCCTGTGTTTAATACACAGGAACTCCCTCCCCAGGGATAACAACAACCTTTTCTGCAATACTCCCCTCCTGGGTTGAAGAGAAGAGAAAGAAAGGCAAATTACCAAGAAAATAAATGGTTTATTTTTCTTCATATCCATAGCAGGTTAGTAATAATACACAATCATACAGAATCTTGATGCTCTTGACAGAAAGCATATTCTTTATTTGTACAAATAAAAAACCCAAAAACATCCTGGCTTTGACTAGGGCCCAGCAAGGACTAAAGTGATCAAGACCTAAGCAGGTCATCAGGGTAGAAGGAGCGTGGAGTTACCTGGAGATTCGCTGGGGACCCTGGGCCCAGAGAGCCAGAGAAAAGGAGAGCTGGGGTTGCAATGATCTGGGAAGCCCCCTCCCTGTCTCACAGACCCCTGGGCTCACCCTGCACTTAATGCTGAGCATGTGAACTCGGGCATAAAAGATGGTGCTTAAAGCTTCAAGAAAAAAGCCCCAGAACAGATTGAAACTGAAGGAAACAGGATAGTATATTGAAGAAACACCTTATCCTATGCCTCTTGCTGGTGTCAAAGTTCTGAGACTTGAGATTTTAAAAATGATGTTACTCTGGAATGTGATCCAAAAAAACAAACACCCCCCGCCCACAAACAATACTAGAGATCCTTAAAAGAAAAGGGTCTAAAGCTTTTCAGCAAAAGATTTTGAGGTCAGTCCTGCCAGAAACAGGGGACTGGCCTTGATAACTGCATGGTTCTTTCCAGCCTTAGGAACCTACATCTGCTTAAATGGCACTTGGAAAGACAGGCATAAGATGACATTTGGACAGACGCCACTTGCTGCAAGTGGAAAAGAACTGGTCTTGGTTGTAAAGAGAGAGTTTTGTGGGAGTAAAAGAGTAAAGAAACTTTTAAACCCAGATTTTCTATTTGGTCCTCAGTCTATAGAAAGTTGGACATCCCAGATGAAGAACAAAAGCAAACTGAAAACTACGTACGTGTAAAGGTCACTCTAAACATTCTTACCTTAACCAACAAGCAGAGACCACGAAAAGACAAGGAAGTGAATATAAGGTACTCCAGTTCCAAATACCCTAATCCATTCCTATTTGAAGCTTTTTCTTTTTCTTTTCTCAACAAGTTGGAGAAAACGTACAGAAAGGAGGACCACTGACTGAGCTGACTTTATTCCTCTTGGGGCCAAGAACAGACACGGCATATTTCACAGAGGCCGAAGCAGGGTGACAGAGTTTGGATATGTTGTCCCCCACAGCTCATGTGGAAATCCGATCCCCAATGTAGCAGTGTTGGGAGCTGTCTGGGTCATCGGGGACAGATCCCTCATGAATAGATAATGCCCTCCCGGGACTGGGGGGTTGGTGAGTTCTTGCTCTATTAGTTCCCTGAGAACTAGTTGTTCAAAGGACCCTGGCATCTCCCCTCCCTTCCTCTCTCCCTCTCTCTCCCTCTTTCTCTCTCTCTCTCCCTCTTTCTCTCTCTCTCTCCCTCTTTCTCTCTCCCTCTCTCTCTCTCTCTGCTTACTCTCACCATGTGATCTGCTTGTACCTGCCGGCTGCCTGCCATTTTCCGCCATGAGTAGAAGCAGCCTGAAGCCCACGCCAGATGCAGCTGTCCCAGAACTGTGAGCCAATTAAACCTCTTTTATTTATAAATTATCCAGTTTCAGGTATTCTGTTATAAGCAACAGAAACAGACTAATACAGGGGGGTCTCCATCAATGACATGGGTATACTATACTACAGGGATTGGCTTCCTGTTTAGAGAAGACTCACTGGTCACCTCAAAATGACCAAAACTCTCTGACACCTGGCAGAGTAGCAAAGTATTTAAAAAACCTATTATGAGCAGAAATATTTAGTCATTATTTTCTTAAACCTTCTTCATGGGTTTAGAATCATGGGACCATTTAGTGTAAATTCATTTCTTTTGACTCCTACGGAAGTAACGTATAGGTGCTATGGTCTGAACATCTGTCCCCTCTAAAGCTTGTGTTGGAACTTAATCCCCAATATGGTATTTGAAAAGTGAGAATTGTGCCCTCATGAATGGATTAATGGGTAATGGTTTAATGAGTTATCAGTAGACTGGTGTCTTTATAAGGAGACTAGGTGAGCACATAAAAACACTCTTGCCATTTTCACCTTGTGGCTGCCTCTTCACCATGGGACTCTGTACAGAGTGCCCACCAAGAAGAAGACCCTCACCAGATGTACCCCCTAGACCTTGGACTTCCTAGCCTTCAAAACTGTAAGAAATAAATTCTGTTTCTTTATACACTACCTAGTTTCAGGTATTCTGTTATCAGCAACAGAAAACTGACTAATACAATAAGGTTTTAATCCAATTTTTAATCTGGCCTGAAAAATACACTTCAGTGTTCAATGATTTGAAACCTCCTGTGACATCAGGGAATTAAATGGATTAGAAGATTTAAGGAATGTAAATATAAATATGTGTGTGTGATCATATGTTATACTCGAGTATTGTTTGTTTTTTTTCACCTGCCCAGGGAGGACATCCCTCAGTGCTTATAAGCCCTATTCCCCCTGGTGACCATTTAGTACCAGCTTAAGCTAATGGTGGGCAAAAAAAAAGCAGAATTCAACACAACACATCCCAACAAGTTCACAAGAACCAAGAGAAGTTTGGAAGCAGGAGATACACAGCAACATCAACCACAAACAGGCCATCACTCACCCCAGAGTTTGAAATGTCCTTGCAGGCTTCTTACTTGGCCCAGAACTTCCTCTCTGCCCCTGCCCCAGATGAAGGCCTTCAGAAGCAATTCTCTCTGTGCTGCGAATAGGCAAGTGTGGCTCTAGCAAGCTAGAGGAGAGCAAGGAAAGGACAGGGCTCCAAAGAAGTGAAACCACAAAACAGCAAATACAACACAACCCCTCGGGCATGTGGCCTCATACTGAAAGCTTGTTAGTTTAGTGCACAGAGGCCTGCAGGCCAATCAAGGGGGGCAGGGCCATCCTGGGGAAATCGTGTATTTTCTGTTTCTGCAGAACTGGGTGTAGTGCAGTCAAGAGAGATTCTCAAAATGGTAAGACAGAACATGAACCATTCTTCTGCAGCAGCCTGGAGATCCCACAAAGTTCTTCCTGAAACAATGAGATACAGTGGGATCTTTGCATCATCAACCACCACCACATTCAACTTGGTCAGGGCAGGACTAGGTTTTTGGTGCTGCCCACCTGGTATCACTGCCCTCTGTTCCTCTTTCTGACACACTCAGCAGGGAGCTCCAAGCCCAGGGCTGTATCCTCCAGGTGGCAATCTGTGAGTCTCCTCTTCTTGACTGTCTTCTTTAAGAGCCATTTTGCTCTGAGAAAATCAGCAAGGCCTCTCCAAAGCCACCAAGCAGAAGGCTGCAAATGACAGCATAAGGTCAGCCTTCTAGTCCCTCAGGCCAGGAGGCCACAACCAACTGAGCTGTTAGTACCCACGTCCAAGAGGGCAGGGATGCCCCCCTCATTCTGCGACTGTGACTCTCATGATCAGCCCAGACTGCCATGCTTCCAGGTCAAGCCCAGGACCTGTGCCCATCACTCTGGGCAAATCCCCGCTCTATGGTGGGAGGCAGGTGGACTGGGGTCCCACTCATGCTGACCAGTAGGGACAACTGTGCTCAGGTTAATGCTCTCTGATGGAAGCCTGGGAGTAGGGCTTCCTACGGAGCCCTCTATTGCTTTTCAATAAAGAAGATCAATGGATATGAAATCACGTAGGTGTCCGTAATCTTAATATTATTAAGGTGACAATCTCTGAATCTTGTTACTTCATTTACACTAATAGAACATTTAAAGATGAAAATACAGGGCCGGCCCGGTGGCGCACTCGGTAGAGTGCGGCACTTGGGAGTGCAGCGGCGCTCCCGCTGAGGGTTCGGATCCCATATAGAGACTGGTCCGCTCACTGGTTGAGCGCGGTGTGGGCGCAACACCGAGGGTTGCGATCCCGTTGCCGGTCACGAAAAAAGACAAAAAGAAAAAAAGAAAAAGATGAAAATACAAATAGGGACTTATGAATTTCCCACCAGCACAGAAAGAAATATGGTCAGTGATTTGAAAATGAAAAAGCAGCAGGAGAACTGGTGACTGTGAGAAAAAGAAGAGTTGAATATTTTAACACGTCTAAAATTTAATACATTCAAAGGTTTCTTCATTTTCTATTTTAAACTTCTCAGTAAACAGTCTGCTGTCTGTCTGAATCTCCTGTCATTCCTCTTCTGGGCACTGGCTGGGTCATTGCTAAGGGATAATGATGGCGGGTCCCTGAGGGTGAAATGCTCTTTTCAGAGGTGCCAGCAGCACTTCCATTATACCCTTTTCCTCCCTTCCTCTCCCACCCACCCCCCAACACCCCAATCCTCCTATATGCTCTTACATAACACACATACATTCAAGCCATGGTGCCTATATTTCTAACATATGTTTGGGGTGATGAATGTGTGAAACACACACGGGCTGTTCATGTTACACCCCCAGGTAAAAATGTCACCTATCTGGGTGACCCTGACATACAGGTAACTTGTATCATTTTCCACTTTTAGAATAGGAATGAACAGACTATGTGTGAGAATATAAAATCAATAAACTTTAGAATTGGGCAGACCTGAGTTCCCGTTTCAGCTCAGGCATTTACAGTCATGCACAGCATAATGATGTTCAAGTCAACAATGGACCTCATACATGACAGTGGTCCCATAAGATTATAATATGGCATTTTTACTGTACCTTTTCTATGTTCAGATACGTTTAGATACACAAATACCACAGTGTTACATCTGCCTACAGTATTTAGTACAGTAACATGCGGCAGAGGTTTGTAGCCTAGGAGCCATACTCTATACCATATAGCAGGTGGGTACTAGGCTATATCATCTAGGTTTGTGTAAGTACACTCTACGATGTTCGCACAACCACAAAATCACCTAACAATGCATTTCTGAGAATGTATCCTCATTGTTAAACAATGCATGACTGTATTGGCTATGTAACTTTGTCCATGTTACTCAGCCTTAGTTTTCCCATCTGTATAACGGGAGATGATCACATCTAACAGTTTCTGACATCTAAGAGTTAAGAGGCTTAGAAATAATACACATGAAGCAACCCACCACTGTGCTTGGCCTGTAATGGACCATCAATAAAATATGATTATTTTCTAGTCAACTGCCCTCCTGGGGCAATAATCCCCTCCTCCAGGTCCTCCTCATTGACTACCCAACCTCTGCCTGAAGACGTCTAGTGAGGGGCACGTCCTGTCGTGCAAAGCAAGCCTGTCCTACCGATGAGAGTCACTGGACTCAAGCATCCCACTTGTGGAAGGCTGGCCTTGGGGACTGCCTGACACATGGGCCCTCCCTCAAGGAGGAGGCTCTTCCTCATACTGACCCAACAGCTGCTTCTTATAACCTCGCCTGGAGGTCCAAGTCCTGCTTTCTGGAGCAAGAGAGATCAAATCTACTCCTTCATCACACTAGACATTGGGAAAATCACCCCAACCACCCTCCCTCAAGGAGGAGGCTCTTCCTCATACTGACCCAACAGCTGCTTCTTATAACCTCGCCCTGGAGGTCCAAGTCCTGCTTTCTGGAGCAAGAGAGATCAAATCTACTCCTTCATCACACTAGACATTGGGAAAATCACCCCAACCACCACGATTTCCTCTCTCTGGTGACGAAAGGCCTCTAGGCAAGGGCAGAGAGAGATGCCCATCAAGGAGCCAGTCACTGGGCGGGTGGGGTAGGAAGATATCCCCCACCCGGCTAACAACTGAGATGAGGAGAAGAGGCGGGCGAGGGAGGGAGACACCGGTATCTCAAGCTCCAAGGAGAAATGTACTTTCCTCTTTCCTATGGAAATAGTATAAACAGTAATACTAAATTGATCTATTTAACTCACAATAATGTGGCTGAAATTTGAGGACTTTCCTTATCTATAACCATCATGTATAGCACTGCTTCTCTGAGAAACCGAGGTCCAAGTTCCAAAAGACCATATTTTGAAACACAACCCAGGTGTGAAGTTGGGAGCCTGCTTGTCCCATGTTCAGGACCCCAGAAGCTGGAGGCTCTCTCGCCCCTTCTCTTTGGAGAAGATGTGACCGGGAAAGGGAAGCCATTCTTTTCGTACATAGGCTGTCCTCTAAAGATCCAGCTTTTCCTTTTAAGCAGATTGCCATTCCCTTCAAAATCCCTTAAAGAACGCATCCTTCACCTTCTCAAGTCCCCGGGCAAGTGCAGAGTCACTGCAACCAGATGCGAGGGCTGTGTGGAGCTTGGGTTTGGAGGGGTTTATCTCCGCAAATGTAACCGGGGCTCCGTCCTTTCATACACTTTCCACTAATCCCCTTTAATCAGTAGAGGGCAGAGCGGGGCAGTGGCTGGCCCAGTGCCACCTTCCCTCCCACAGCCTCACACAATGCCGAGCCTAATCACCCTGTACTGGTCCCTCTGGCTGAGCTATTTTATGAAACGCCCGAGCAGCTTAGTGAGTACTAAAATGAAAACAAACCTCAGGTTGCTTTACCGTTGAGACAGCCGGGGAGGTGAGCTTTGATGTTGTTTTCTAAACTGCAGGAGAAGCTGACACAGGGTCCAGGAATTTTAATAGCATTACAACTATTTAAGACAGAGCTTGACTGAACTGTTTGCAAACCTTGTAATCCCCATCATTCCAGAAATGAACACACTGCATGTGACTAAGGCATAAACATCAGACTGCAGAGCACACACGGCCAGAACTATCCATCACCAGCTTCTCTTGCAGGGTTTCTTTTCAGTGCCTCTCCAGCCCTTCCCTTTCCTCTTATGGGGAACCAAAGGCCCCATCTCAATTTTACATTTATTATTGTGGTTATTCAATAAATTCCTACTGAACTCACTAGACAGAGGATGGAGACGGTATCCTTTTCCTGGCTGCAGGCCCAGCAGCTAATGCAGCACCCAATAAATATTTATTCCATGAATGCTTGAATTGTTATATTGCTCCCCTTCTCCTATCTATATTCCAAACTATTTTTGCTTTTTTCTCTCTTCCTCACTGAAATACATCTGCCCAATGTCCCATTCCCTCAGGGCCTTGCTAAATGACAGTATAATCTGATAAGCTGTGATAGATAAAATCTCACAGGTATGAGCAAGAGTTATTGAGAAGCCATTCTTAGATAGCATTTTTAAAAGGGGGTTTCAGGGCTGGCCCGGTGGCGCACTGCTACAGTGCACCGCTTGGGAGCGCGGTGGCGCTCCCGCCGAGGGTTCGGATCCCACATACAGACCAGTTCCCGCTCACTGGCTGAGCGAGGTGTGGGAGCAACACCGAGGGTTGCGATCCCGTTGCCGGTCCCGGTCCGGTACGGGCGCGACACTGAGGGTTGCGATCCGTTGCCAGACATGAAAAAAGACAAAAAGGAAAAAATAAAAAAAATAAAAAAATAAAAAGGGGGTTTCAAATTTTTAATTCAAATGGCAAACTGACAAATTGCAGACACTGTCATGTTAGAGGCATTCTGGAGTGTGTTGGGGGAAGTTCTTTCTTTTTTTTTTTTTTCCTTTTTGTCTTTTTTCATGTCTGGCAACGGATCGCAACCCTCAGTGTCGCGCCCGTACCGGACCGGGACCGGCAACGGGATCGCAACCCTCGGTGTTGCTCCCACACTTCGCTCAGCCAGTGAGCGGGAACTGGTCTGTATGTGGGATCCGAACCCTCGGCGGGAGCGCCACCGCGCTCCCAAGCGGGGCCCCGTAGCAGGACGCCCCCCGGCACGCCCCCCAACCCCCCCTTTTAATCACCATCCTAACATCGCGTCTCCACT